GAGGGATATTAGTTGTTTGGTTAGTTTCACAAAAAGAAGAGTCTTAGGTCGGCCATGCAGGATTAGATTTTAACTAGCAATGTGACTAGTCCAAGTATTGCTAGAAGGAGTTGGGCAGTGTAAGAATTAAGTGACTAAAACTCTGAAATACAGTAATACCTTGGTTTACGAGCATAATTCGTTCCAGAAGCATGCTTGTAATCCAAAGCGCTTGTATATCAAAGCGAATTTCCCCATAGGAAATAATGGAAATTCCGATGATTCGTTCCACATCCCAAAAATATTCATATAAAATGATTACAATACTGTACTGTAATATAATAACGTATAAAATATAAAGAAAAATAAACCAATTACCTGTACCTTCGTGGCCGGTGTGAGGGGGACAAGAGGGAGGAGGATTATTGTGTAGGACGACTTTCACTATCAGTAACGGAATCACTGCTATCTCTTGACTCAATTGAATCTTTTTCATTTCGTGAAACCTTAACAAGGAATCTATCCAATGTGACATTGCATTGTCGTTAAACAGACTCATCGCTCGCACTGCTACAGCCTTATTCCGGTGATGCTTTTCTACAATATTTTGCTCTTCATGCAAGACATTGCTTGTATATCAAGGCAACATTTTTCAGAAATGTTTGCTTGTCTTGCAAAACGCTCTCAAACCAAGTTACTTGTAAAGCAAGGTATTACTGTATTGTTATCACAGATTGAGACGTTTCTCCCCTGTCTGTGTGTAGATATCATGCCGAAGACCTTTCTTAGCCCCCATTCTTTCCTTTACATATTTTGGACTTGTCGCCTGAATTTTGTGATGATCCTACAGGATAGCAGCATTTTTTCCCCTTTTCTAGTTATGGCATCTTACATTCTTAGGAACATCTGAAGAAAACGCCTTTTAACTTCAAGTTGGTATCTGATATTTGGACCAAGTAGGGCAAAACAACAGGTTTACTTTAACAGTGGTCTCCGCTGCAAGTTACACTTGCCTTATCTTTGCTCCCCACCATTCTGTTTGGCCACCAAGAGTAAAAAGAACAAGCCAATACTTCCAGGTATGGGGAAACAAGAGACTCGCTCACCTTCCTCCTATATGACAGCGGCGGTGCTCGGCAATTGGCTGTTCAAGCACCT